AAAGCAAATCAGACTGCCCACAATGCCAGTTGAGTGGCATATGCCAGTGTGGTGAAGCTAGGGCAGAATTTGCAAGAGCTTTATGTCAGTGCTAGAAGCTGGAGAAATGGACGGAGGAATTACAATGTGTGGTGTTGAACAGCATCTCTGGTATAACAGGCATTGAGAGACCTGGTAGGGGAAAAAAATAATCAGTAGGACAATGTTGCCAGGCTACTAATTTAAGAACATCGCAGCAGGATATGTGGGTGACAAAGTGGTGCCATATGTGAAAGATTACATAGAGTGCAACAGCAGGGACGTCTGACAGGAAAAAAAACAGCACAGCACGTGGTTGGAAGTCTGTACTAACCTAAGGAAAAAAAAATCTAATTCTAAAAAAGAATTGGAATTGTGCTACTGACCCCTGATCAAGATGGCAACAGTGACCAGAAACGAGATTAGAGAAACTACAAGTTTCAGAGAGGTGGTAACAGGGAGAGATCTCAAGATCACATCCTAATAAACTGAAGTATTTCAGCTTGTGACGAGCTAAAGTATTCCAGTGATACATGACAGCCTTCTGGAACAACTAGTAGATCTCAAATAATAACCAAATCAAAAGCAGCAGCTTGAGTAGTGCATGGGTACTAGCATAAGGGGTATTCATGGGAGAGTTACTCCATAACAGCAAACAAAACACAGTAGGGTTAATACTGTTGCAAGAGAGAACAGTCAAAGTGAAATCTGAACTACTAAGTTGGAGCAATGTTGAAATAAAGGCAGTTAATAGAGCAAGCAAAAAACCCACAACAAACAACAAAAAAAGGAACAGTTCCAATAGCAAGATACCTACAACCAGCCCGGGGGCTGTTAAATACTGAATTAGAAGCCCAGGTAAAACATGTGCCACAACTCAAAACGAAATAAAAAATACTTACACAGCTCAATAGGAAAGTTACTCAGAGGGAATTCTGTTTTGAATGCTGGCAAAGGGAACAGGAAAACTCACAGCACTCCTTGGGTCGACTGTAAACATAATGAATCTCAAAAAATAATCTGGAGATGATGCTCACAGTGGTAGCATGGTAGCACAGAATTTTTAAAATACATCAAAAGCAGAGGACCAAGCAGGGAACTAGTGAGAGAGCTGATGACAAAAGTTTAAGAAGGGGCACCGACTGATAAAGACTGTGACAGAGAAGCCAAATTTTCTGTAGCAGCTAGGCCAGAAGATCTAGATAGATGTCATCTAGCACCTTCTGTGTAATTGCTTTAAATAGATAAGGTAGATGCTGGTAAGATCTCAGGACTAAATGGCATTTATCAAAGAGCTCTGAAGGAAGTCAGATGTAAGGTTGCAGAACTGCTGAGCAAGGTGATTTCACCTATTGTTACAGATTGCCTCTGTGTCAGAGGACTGACATTGCCAACACAGCTGTCATCTATAAAAAGCAGCGTCTAGGAGGAAGACTGAGCTACAAACCAATGAACAATTTCCAATCCTGATAGGGTGGTCAAATCTTCAATAGAGACCAAGTTTACTGAAAGCAAGGGTAAACATAGTCAGCTGAGGAAGTTATAGGACTTGTATAAAGGAGAATTTAAGTTCGCAAAGTTTGTAGAGGGCTAAAACAGTGTCAGAAAAGCACATGGATAGGAATCCTTTAGCAAAGCTGTATTAAAGAAGCTAATCTGGAATTGGGAGAGATGTCCTTTTCATGACTTGAAAACCCATTAAAAGATACGAACCAAAGGATAGAGCTCAATGGTCACTTATCTAGACAGAAAAGTCAGCAATGGGACCTTTCTGAAGACGGGTACTGGGACCACTTGAATACATTTTTGTCAGTGACCTGCAGAAGGGTGTGTGCTGTGCAACCTGCATTATAGATAAGCTCATGTGGTGCTTTGCTGATGGAGAGAAAAGTCCACAAGAACTTCACAAAACTCAGTGAATGAGTAAAAAGTTGATAGGGGAGCATCCATGCATCTAGAGAAAAATAAATCATGCCTTACTTAGCTAAAACTCAGGAAATTGACAGGAGAGTCATAATTGAAGATATTTTAATAGAATTGTTAGTGTGTACTTGCAGACAAAGAGAAGATGTTTGGTGTCATAAGTAGGGGGTATAGGTAACAAGACAGAGGATAACAGTGTGCAACTACAGAAAATCTCTGCACTCCTGTTGAGTGAGTGCTGCATGTAGTTCTGATCTACACATCTCAAAGATACAGGGCAGTTCAAGGTACAGAAAAAGGCACTAGAATTGGTGGGGGAGACGGAGTCCCTCATTATGAAGGGATGCTGAGAAGACTGGAACTCTTCATCCAAACCATTCTATGATTCTATCTGTAAAAGTAAAAACTGAGGAGTGAGCATGATTATGGCTTACAAGCTGGATACAAAACATTCACCAAATCCTACAATACTAGAACCAAAGTGCAGCTTATTGAAAAGGAAGTACATCCTTACTACTTCTTCTAATTCTCTACCAGTGGAGGTTGTGGAGCTAGAAATAGCGAGTTCAGAATACAGTCAGAAAAAAATCACAGTCACAGTTCCACAAGAAACTCTAAAGGTGAGGCAGGTATGCACTGTTTACCATCCTTAATACAGTAATTCTGGATGCTGGAGAGAGTATAATGGAAATGGACCACGTTCTCTCTAAATAGCATCTCCAATTAGCCAGTACACTGAGCTAGATGGGCTTTTGGTCTGATCTCCTAAGGTGTTTTTTAAACTTATTAAGAGCCGTGAAGGAGGAAGGAGGTGACATTAAGATGACCTGTATGATCTACTACAACTTTTGTTCTCTTGACAGCACAAATAAGCAGGTCTGAAAAGCACCAGCAATCAAGGAGGAGGCAGACAGAGGTACTGGCAGAGTTCAGGAGAATAAGAAGTGTTTCAAAAGACCTTGATCCCAAGGTGTGTGGTCAGGCAAACCCTGTAGGAAAAACAGTACAAAATTTAGCAGAACACAAATACAGAGTAACATATTTAAATCTCGAGTGCTGAGTGACAAGAACACATCCAACCACATTTTAAAATGTATATAGAAATGTGTAGTTAGCATCTTTAAGACATTTCCATCATGTGTGATGCATCAAAAATCTTGGGATCTTCTTTTGATCCTAATGCATGACAGTTTATGAAATGCTAGAGTGAATGCTATTTGTTGTGATAGGTAAGTGTTTCTTTCCCGTTCCATTCGTAAGGAGCTGATAACTTAGTTCCTGTCGTATTTTATAGGTGATTACTTCCAGTGCAGTGAATTTATTGCCCTAACTATAGCATTCACAGTAGTATAGGGACAGGCTGGAGATTGATTTAAAAAACAAACCAAAACAGTGAGAAACACCACAGCTATAGCACAGGCAATAAGAACTGCAAGTCTACACATAGCAGGCAATATGGAGTCCTCCATTTCTTATATGCTACCTGGCACATACACTTTCTCCCAACCTCCAGGTTTAAATAGTTTTCTATAGACCTTAGCAAGCATCTTCAAAAGCATTAGCTTCATTTGCTTCTGTCCTCGTGTACCAGCACCTTCTTCTTTGTGTCCTTTTTCTGCATCACAGGCCTTTAAGTTCTTGTACAGATCCAGCTGATGTTTGAGAAAACCTCATTCTACATCTGTTTTGTTGCTCTTTGTTAGTTACTTTAACTAGAGGTTGATGTAATTGGAATAACATATGTTGTCATTAAAGGGACCACTTAGATGAAAATGAAATGATCTATAAATCTGAAGGTGGAGATAAGCAAGCAGCATCTCTTAAAAGCACCCAGATTGTAAAT